ACTACCTCCCTGCTCCGGCTGACACTACCTCCCTGCTCCGGCTGGCACTACCTCCCTGCTCCGGCTGGCACTACATCTCTGCTCCGGCTGGCACTACCTCCCTGCTCCAACTGGGTTATAAGTGACCCTGGCAGGTTAAATCACCACCACCAGATGTAGACAAAACGAAATGTAAATTTTGCCAGACGGACAACTGTCACACCTTGTGTCATTATGTGTCGAAATGCGCTAAAATTTATGAATTCAGAGACGGCTCATTCAGAAATGTTCAAGAAAAATCAAAGTATTTTATCCACAGTGGTGTATTAAAATCCACTCTGGTAAAATACCCTGACTTTGCTCACTGTAAATAAAGCATTACTACTCTCGTGTGTGTGTGTGTGTGTGTGTGTGGTGTGTGTGTGTGTGTGTGTGTGTGTGTGTGTGTGTGTGTGTGTGTGTGTGTGTGTGTGTGTGTGTGTGTCCGTGCGTGCGTGCGTGCGTGCGTGTGTGTGTGTGTGTGTGCGTGCGTGCGTGCGTGCGTGCGTGTGTGTGTGTGTGTGTGTGTGTGTGTGTGTGTGTGTGTGTGTGTGTGTGTGTGTGTGTGTGTGGTGTGTGTTGTGTGTGAATAACTCAATACGATTGTCACCAGATATAAACATGAAAATAGTTCATTACCTTTGTAAGTTGTTAAGCTATCAAAACTTAGGTGCCCGGTCCCTGGACTCATTATGTACCTCTTTAATCTTTTGACTACCACCCACACCGTGGGTATAGAGTGTAGTTGTGCTGGTGTTGTGAGAACATTAGTGAGGCAGATAATGATCTAGCACATACTGAAGTATAAAGTATGTAATATCAATCTTGGCAACAACTATTTTTAGCCTTCTATGTCCACCTTCCTTACCACAAACTGGCCGTACTGTAAAGTCTGGCCGGTGAGCCGGCTGTACCCTGACTCACCACAGGACCCTCATTACCACACCTTCATTGTCTTGCCGCGGTGCCTCCACAGTGACGGCACTACTGAACGCATCGTCTTATGACAGAGACTCATGTTAGGCTATTTCCCCCATCCTCCCAACTAATGAACCAACAACTGTGCATGACTTCACATGAAAACTTTCAATATTATCAGTGTTGAGTGGTCCTACTTTGTAGTGTGTAGAGTGGTAGTGAGTTAAGTTGACATGTGCTGGGTAACTCAGGTGAACTGACCAGAACTTGAGTCCTGGAGATGAGAAGTACAGTGCCGGCACTCTAAAGGGAAGGTGGTAATGTTTCAGTTTAATAACTGTAGTGTAAGCATGCCTCTGGCAAGACAGTAGTGGAGTGAATGATGAGAAACTTTTTCTTTCTCTTGCCACCCTGCCTTGGTGGGAGGTGGCCGATGTGTTGATAAAATAATAAAATAATAATAATAATTAATAATATAATAATAATAATAATATAGTCAAGTTAAGTGCTAAACATCTAAGAATCATAGAGTGGTGCGGGATGTGAAAGAAGGAATATGCAAAGGTAGGAACGAGTGAGGGATACACAGGTGTGAGCATTGGCGGCACCAAGGAAATCTTGGAGGGACTTCAGCCCCCCCAAAATACCTCTGCCCCCAAATAAAATTACTAATAATAGTAATAATATCCGCTACAAAACAAGCCTCCTACCTAACTACTTCCTGCCAGATAACCAGCCCTAAACCTGACCCTCCTCCAGTATAAAAATTCTGGTGGCTTCCCTGGGTGTGAGTGGGGGCTCATGCAAGAGTAAGATCTCAAAGCTGAAGCAATAGGTTAGTTCCCGTTAGAAAGTCAAAGAGTGTCTGCCTCAAAGGTGGTACTTTCAGTGAGGTCAGCTAGAGTGTGTTGGGGATCTGTAGACGTCGGCCCGGTGGCTAAAGCTCCCGCTTCACACACGGAGGGCCCGGGTTCGATTCCCGGCGGGTGGAAACATTTCGACGTGTTTCCTTACATCTGTTGTCATGTTCACCTAGCAGTAAATAGGTACCTGGGTGTTAGTCGACTGGTGTGGGTCGCATCCTGGGGGACAAGATTAAGGACCTCAATGGAAATAAGTTAGACAGTCCTCGATGACGCACTGACTTTCTTGGGTTATCCTGGGTGGCTAACCCTCCGGGGTTAAAAATCCGAAGAAATCTTATCTTATCTTATTACCGCGTAGGGTTCATTACCATGCAGGGTTCATTACCATGTAGGGTTCAGAGTGGTGTTGAGGTAAGGTGACTCGTGCTAGGTGAGAGAAGCGACGGTCCAGGTTCCACAGTGACTGCACCTCCTCCTCCAGCCACACACTGGGGGATAGGAATGAATATCAGATTATAAAATACACCGACAAGTATGCAGATCATACAGGGCTCATACAGCACCTAAGGAATAGAAGGTATTCAGGTCTGATCCGAGGAAGGCGAAAAAATAACTCAAATTCCTTAGATCAACAGTCCCTCACCAGCTTCAAGGTACCTGTCTCATGCTAGAGAAGAAATTCGGTCACTGGCTAGTATTAAACTTACTTTAGTAACATATCTTTCCACCTCTAGTAAAGATCACTTATTTCCTACATAGTGTTAACAAATGTTAAATATGGGTATCTGTGCCTAAAACTTGATCATCATTATTCGTATTAAAGACACGTTTTATTCCATTATCCTTTCCAATACACCTTTTGATAGACAACTCGAGATATTTTAATGTTAACAAAAGAATACAATTATTGAACGCCAGACTTCAACAACTTATTTTTAAGTAAATAATAGGTGTTCTATAAATAATTATTACATACACTCATGTGTATGTAATGCTGTCCAAAAACAAATGCTTTGTAATGTCAGTTTCATTCGCAATACAACACACAGGATTATACACCGTGTGTCTCTCATATACACCGTGTACGTCTCATATATACCGTATATGTCTCACATATACACCGTATATGTCTCTAATATACACCGTATATGTCTCTAATATACACCGTATATGTCTCTCATATACACCGTGTATGTTTCTCATATACACCGTATATATGTCTCTCAGTGTGTATACAGAGAGAATTTACTGTTGTGCCTATATTTTTAATACGGTATACTTAAATTTGTGGTGAATAGGTGACATGCAGCCTTAATTAATGACTCTCGTGTAGTTGATAGGTTCTGAACCCCATTAACCAATCAACCTTAACAACGGTTGTAAGTCCAAAGCACCACCTACTGTTTGAGTGACCAGGGACTCCTGGAAGCACTATGATTGAAATCCTTCAAGACGTTGTGTGAAGTGTGAAGGTGCCTGCTCGCCCTCTCCTTGACCTGCTCGATCTCCCCGGGTTGATGACCTCGTAGATGAGAACGATGTAGGGGTCGAGGGAGACCTGCTCTACCTTGAAGGGTGCCAGAAGAAGCCAGGGCTGCCACTGCTCATGTAACGGCACTGAAGCTCAGATATCACTAAGTTCGTCTGTCATCAAATAAGACCACAAGATCAGGAAGCTCACTCTGTACTTCAGTGTCTTAACAACTGTAAACTTATGGTTAACGGCTTTTACACTAAATTATTTTTTACCTCAGTAAACAGAAATGGAGAATATGTGTGACATTTTTTCCGAAATTGTATTTAATTTATAAATCATTTATATCGATTAATACTTAACATAAACCAGGTAAAAAAAATCAATCTAATGAGTTCAACATGAAATTAACATACTTGAGCAAAACTGTAATGTTCCCTGCAAAGGAAGGGCTTCAGTGCTGACGAAGAGCTCTTGATACAGAAAAGTAGAGCCTCCCTACATTTCCTAGAATCAAGCCTGATTACCTCCCATTCCCTTACGGGTTTAGCGCTCGCTCCCCTGATTTAAAATAAATGGAAAACTGGATGAGGGAGCATAGTCTTGCTCCAGCCTTACCCTGAGATCGCCTCCTCTACAGAGTCTCTCCACTTGGTGCAGCTCCACCAGGGGGCGCTGCTGCAGCATCCAGGTCTTGTTGCCGTGCAGTTTCAGGTACTGCACGCCCACCACTACACCCTCCTCCTCCTCCTTCACATAGCTGAGGCTTTCTCTCTGATGCTCATACGGCGTCGGGGCTGTGACGTGGGTAAGCGAGCGAGGACCTCTGATCTCTAGGACGTGGTCATGCTGCCGTGTGGGAACATGAGAACAATGTATCTACCGCATCTGCTAGAAAAATGATAGGATGGATAATGAGAACCTTCAAAACTAGGGACGCCAAGCCCATGATGACTCTCTTCGAATTGCTTGTTCTCTCTAGGCTGGAATACTAATGTACACTAACTGCCCCATTCAAGGCAAGCGAAATTGCTGACCTGGAGAGTGTACAAAGAACTTTCACGGCACACATAAGTACGATAAAGCGCTTAAATTATTGGGGAAGGTTGAATTCCCTTGATTTGTATTCCCTGGAACGCAGGCGAAAAACGTACATGTTAATATACACTTGGAAAATCCTAGAGGGATTAGTACCAAATTTGCACACGACAATCACTACGAAAGCAAAAGACTCGACAGGATATGCTACATTTCCCCAATGAAAAGCAGGGGCGCCACGAGTACACTGAGAGACAACACAATAAGTGTCCGGGGCCCAAGACTGTTCAACTGCCTCCCAGCATAAATAAGGGGGATTACCAACAGACCCCTGGCTGTCTTCAAGAAGGCACTGGACAGGCATCTAAAGTCAGTACCTGACCAGCCAGGCTGTGGTTCATACGTCAGTTTGTGTGCGGCCAGCAGTAACAGCCTAGTTGACCAGACCCCGATCCACCACGAGGCCTGGTGTCAGATCGGGCCGCGGGGGCGTTGACCCCCGAAACCCTCTCCAGGTATACTCCAGGGGTACACTGGTTAGTGGGAAGATCTGTGAGGTACACTGGCAGGTGGGAAGGTGGGTGAGGTACACTGGCTGGTGAGTGAGGTACACTGCCTGGTGGGAAGGTGGGTGAGGTACATTGGCAGGTGGAAAGGTGGGTGAATGCACACTGGCTTGTGAGAAGATGGGTGAGGGCACACTGGCTGGTGGGAAGGTGGGTGAGGGCACACTGGCTGGTGGGAACGTGGGTGAGGGCACACTGGCTGGTGGGGAAGGTGGGTGAGGTACACTGGCTGGTGAGTGAGGTACACTGGCTGGTGGGAAGATGGGTAAGGTACATTGGCTGGTGGGAAGGTAAGTGAGGGACATGGCT